GGCGGGGGGAGCGGGAGGGAGGGAGCTGCGGCTAGCACTATCTTCAGGGATTTCTGTAATATGAGATCTACCATCGAACTAGGTCTTATTTTTGTGGTAGGTCTTATATTACAGAAATCCCTGAAGATAGTGCTAGGTCTTATTTTCGGGGTAGGTCTTACTTTCGGGGGAAACAGGATATTATCCTAGAAGTTCATATTCTTTTTTGCACAAATGACCTTGATTATATGTTCAGTAAAGATGAAAAATGCTGTCTGTGCTGTTAAATAATACTGTATTTTTAATTATGTATTCCAGAAAATGCATAACAGTTCATAAACCTTTTCTCATAACCATATGTATACAGTGAGAGTAAGCTGACACTGCCATGCATGATGTAAAGAGCTGAACTGATTTGCTGCAAAGGTTTTATTTTTCTTAAGCTAGTTTTTGATCAAAGAGGCAGAGTTTTCATTTTAACTGATTAAGCAGCTCATTATAACTAAAGCAATGAGTCTTAGCAAATGATACATTAGCACTACAGAGTGTAATTAGCATTTACAGTGTCCCTATATTATAGCATGCTGACTTTCATGGTGCTGACTAATGGTATATTTTCATTTCACAAACTATCTAGTGATTAGAGTGGTTTGAAGGGATAAAACTAAAATGAAAGGGAAAGTCTGTAATTTTATGTTAGGTTACTCATTTTCTAGATAAGACCACATGTGGTTTGCGCCGCAAAAAGCACACAGTTCTTTGATAACAAACTCTTTGTAATAAAGGTCAGTGCAAAACACATTTGAGCTGTATAACGATGGCACTTTTTTGTACTGTTATGAAGTCTATGTGGGCACCATTGCACCTGTTTTTTCTACACTGGAATACAACCACTGACTAAGCTAGGTGTAGTTTAATTACGGTAAGTATTTGGATGTGAGAAAATGATCTGAATACTGAACTACCCAACGCAGTGTTCACAAAAACATCATTTCTCATATTGTTATGGATTACATATGCTGTGGAAGTGTCCAGTTACTGAAAGACTATAAGGTGGAAAAAAAACTGCTCTTAGAGGAGTTTATATATCAATGTTTTCACCCAAGATTCACACATTTTTCTAACTGAATCTATGCTGAATGTGAAAAATGTGTGAGTCTTGGGTGAAAACATTGATCACAGATAGACCAGTAAAACACAATTGTTTGCATTTTTTTCAGCATCCAATAAATAACTACTAAATGCCTGCTATTTACTATAATGCACTTGTTGGTCTTTGTCTAGCTGGGTAAGAGGGTCAGAATAATTTACCTCCTGGACATTTGTGAGTGTAATAAAAGAAAGGAAGTTATTGGTAATCCAATAACAGAGTATTTGTCAGCAGAGTCTCTGTAGTTGTAGTAATATGCTCTCTTCAATACATCTGCATACAGCTCATTTATGCATATAAAGCATGTATAAAACATTCTGGTTTTAATGTTCATAATAATATATATGGCCACTTAGCAAAAACTGACCTGTTAATAAAGTTGTACAAGTAAGCAAATAAAACTCATTGCAACTGTGAAAGGCTAAATTTAAATTTTGATTAATTTGTTACATGTTACAAAAGATATTTACCTAGTTATTCAATATAGTGTTTATAGTGTTCTTTTCCCTTATTAACATATTTGAGGAATGAATCATTTCTGTTTTCTTTCAGTTGGCAGCATTGGAAAGACAGATATTTGACTTTCTTGGATACCAATGGTCACCAATCCTCGGAAATTTTCTTCACATAATCGTTGTAATATTAGGATTATTTGGTACCATACAGTACAGACCGCGATACATAGTAGTGGTAAGTTACATAATTTACTTCTTATTAGGATATTTCAAAGGTAAAGTAAAAAATGTTTATAGGCATATTAACTGCAGATGATAGATAGTGGATGCTCATTTCCAGTGACCATTCAGTTCAACGTCTCTGATTGATGCGCAGGAAATAATTATTCACACAGCTGCTAGCTTTAATTTAAAAGCATGTTTGCCAGTATGAAAACAAGTAAAATTACACTATATTGCTATAAAAAAATGATGACTTTTAGCAAGATTTTTAGAATGGTACTTATGCAGAATGTCACTAAAAAGACAGACAGACAGCAGACACCCTCGAGGGAGATGAAGGGAAAGGAGACAAGCATTGGAAGTCATGTTATCAACAGATGATGAAGGCCTCTGTTTGAGTTGGGTAGGATGCCGGCCAAAGCATCCCACTCCACCCCCTACTCCCTTACCAAGAGAGTCCACCCAAATCCCCCCCTCCACGTGCACCACCTCAGGTGGCAAAAAGGGACACCACAGATAGCACCCAGTTTAATAAACAGTTAAGTACAGTGACGTGTATCTAATCGTGATGGGAATATTATATTGTGTGAGTGGCCAATCACCAGGTCTAAGCACTGTTGCGTGGGTCAGGAAGAAGGTCCTTAGCCCTGTGTAAGCTTTTTCACAGAGCAAAACAATTCCTGAACAAGGCTTTTTTACTCAGGGCTCTGACAGACCAGAACAGAACTGCTTAAAGCTGGCCAGCTCAGTAACTCCTATGTCAGCTGCATTCCTTTCTGCTATATGCACTTGGTTGTTTCAGTGACCATGAACCTATAGCAGAAGGGTCCCCTAGACTTTTCTGATTTTTGAATAGCTGTGACTCCTGTAGTGTGCCCTCCCCCTTCCTGTGCTCACCACTGCCTCTGCCATCACTCAGGAGTGCTGATTGGGTGCTATTCTGCATTGCCACTATGCCCCAGCCATTACTGACAATGAGGCTGGTGTCCTGTCTTTATGCCAATCTTATCTGCAGCTTTTCTGTTCATGATTTCAAGCAGGGAGGTTGGTAAATATGCCTCTAATGTCTACTGTTCTCTTTCATTTCTGATTGAACACAAAAGAGCATAGTGCTGAGCACTTCCATGTTCATTCATAAATTGAAGGAAATCCATAAACACAAGAAGCATGTTTACTAATCTCCTTCAGTTTGAGAATAAACACAGAAGAGCTCTGTACTTAGCAGCTCCATGTTCAGTAGTAAGCCTGGGCAGCAGTGGAAAAGGAGAATAAGCACTGTGTCCTTGATCCCTTCCGTCATTCTTAAGGGGAAACATCAGGGGTCTGTTTAGACTCCTGGTAAATATTGCTCTAGTGCATAAGAGGTATAGAACTGCGAGAGCTGAACTGGTTAAAAACACACTAAATTGCAGTGCATAGATATAAATCAGATATGTAGGAAAGAATTGGATTTGTACCTGAAATGCATTATCATGCAATAAATGAATGTGTTTTACTGTAGAAAAATGGACACGTGAATAGGCATATTAGGTTTTATGCTACACACAAGCATAATATTGTTTGATGAGCCCCTTAGAAAATCATTGTAGGGTTCCCAGGCAGACTCATGTTGCTGCTTCCTGAGTAAATCTGTATATGGGCACTAATGGGCCCGCTATGCTATTGGGTCCTACAACACAGGCATAATGTTCTTTTGCTATAGTTTCACTCCTATAAAGAGCATATTTTACTATGCATTATGATGTAGCATAACCTGCTGACTTTTTCCTTTACCTAGTATACAGTGTGGACGGCTTTCTGGGTAGCATGGAATGTATTCATCATCTGTTTCTATCTGGAAGTAGGAGGACTCTCTAAAGTAAGTGTTATTTATTTCTTATAAGAAATCTGTAATATGCATGCAGTGCAGCAGTACATCTACTTTTTATGTTTTGTGCCAGTTCAATGATGTGATGTGATCTAATTTTCTTATATTTTTTAAATTGTGTTAGTGGCAAGAAACAGAACAATGACATTCATGCCTACAGTATGTCAATATCAGAAATTTAAAAAAAATGGCTTTAGCACATAGGGGTCTATTCACAAAGCTGCCGAGGGCAGCCGAGTGAATGACCGATCAGAAGTGAAGTGAGACGAACACTGTTCGGCTATTCACTTCAGGCTGGTACGGCTGATTTCAGCCGTATATCGGCTGAATCAACCGTACATCGGCTTGCTTCGTGTGGCTTCGAAACAGCCGAAACTAAGCTAGTTTGTCATGCTTTGGTATACAACGTTGTATATTGCTCAGGATGGTGGTTAGTTTACATTATTTGAAATAATACACATATGAAAGTTTTTAGTAAATTAAATTATAAAAATAGTAGAAAATCTTAAGAATTTACACTTGATTGCGGATATCATAAAAGGGAAACAAACATTTGTTTCTATGCACAGTGAAAAAATGCAATAGGTTATATTTTAATAAGACTTATGCATACATATGCCCAATGCAGAAGTTCATCCAGTTATTGTGGCTTCTAGGCAGCTATCAGCCTGGGTGTCATATGTTCTGTTGGCAATGGAGGTGCCAGAAATCATGATGAATGAGTCCTGAACAGCAGTAGCACATTAAAGTAAACCTGCCACAAACCTGCATAATTCAAACTGAGCATATGATGAAGAACTGCTTAAGCAGAGACAACTTTCAGTGAAAACCACATGTCAAAACATCCAGGAAATACAGACACAGGCAGATAAAGTTATATGCAAATATTCTTAAATATTCCTATCAAAAGTGTATCTTTCCCCTCCTTGCTACCACCACCAGAGCCCTTCTGTCGGTTCCTTATTCTAATGAGTGGCCTCGTTGACCGATAAATGGCTCATGATTTAATAGATGGTAAGACCAAGCTTAATATTTACAGAAGATTTACGTTTTACACCAAATTTTGGCTCCCTATAACTCTAAATGTATTGATCCTTTTGCTGATTTACACTGAAGCTAAGCCTTGCAAATGCATTTATTCACCATATGCTCTGTATGGAATGACCATATTGATGAAGGGTTTTTCTGCTTATGTGTTTTCCTCCATTCCACAATAACCCTTATGGCCCAAGTGGTTGTAAGAAGAATCTGCAAGAACCCTAATTTTTCACATCTGCGTGTACATAGCCAGAGAATAGGTATGTTGTTGCATGAATCCATGAGGACTGAATGGGAAGTTAAATGTTATTTTACTTAAAAAAACCATAAGTAAAGTAAAATTACCTTTTTATAGGAAAATAAATTTAAAGTATTTGCTAGAACTAACACCGAAAATTACAGCCTGTCAACCAGAAGTATGCTGGGAATAAAAAGAGTGTATTGTTTGGGAGGCATAGATTCTTGTGACTACAATTTGTACTCATTGATCAGTCCGTTAATCATTTCAAATGAATAGGAAATTAGAGTTGTCCTTCCCCTACTTAATACTTTGCTGGGCAAGAGAACTATATATATACACATTATGTTTTTGGTTTCAGAAATATAGCACGTTTAAGTGAATTACCAAGACTTTCTGTATGGGTTGGATGACCCTATCCATCCACTGTCACTCATGACTCATTTGTATCAGAAAGAGCATGGTTCCTGTGCATAAACCTGCAAACAGGGTCTCTGCAAAATCAATGGCTGTCAAACTGCATAAAGTCTGAATAATATACATTAATTATTTAAGAGATGGTTAAGTTGTAAAAGTCAAGTTATCCTTGCAGTGAGAAGCATTGTCCCTTGTTAGCAATCTGCTGTGTTTTGCAAGACCGCAGGGTGCAATTTAAACAAAGAATTAACAGTTTACCTACGCAGTTGACATTTTTTATATTCTAGGTGTTAGAATGAAATACTGTGTGATATATTATTTTAGGCATGTATAAGACTCAGAGTACTTTTATTCTATGCTGTTTGTAATATCAAGAAAAATAGCAAACTAATACAAATAATTCAGAGACAAATCTACTTTGTCCCAGAATATGCAATCTTCATAGTTACATAGTCAGGTTGAAAAAAAGACACAAGTCCATTGAGTTCAACCTATAGAGATGAGAAAAAAAATGCTTTGCCCACAGTTACCCCCTGTTGATCCAGAAGAAGGCAAAAACAACCCCTATAAAGCATGGTTCAATTTGCTCCAACAGGTGGGGAAAAAATCGGATATTCCCTGGATCAACAATCTCTGGTGCTTAATATACCTATAAAAACTCAATATCCAGTAATATTTTGTGCATTTAGGAATGCATCCAGATTTTTTTTTTAAATAGTTAACTGAGTTAGCTAGATCTAGCTCCTGGGAGAGTCTATTCCACATTTTCACAGCTCGATCTGTGAAGAATCCTTCCCGTGTACAAAGGTTAAACCTCTTTCCTTCCAGACGCAAAGAGTGCCCCCTTGTCCTTTGCAGTGACCTTAAAGTGAATAATTTGGCACCAAGCTCACCATTAATGTATTTATACATGGCGATCATGTCTCCCCTTAATCGCCTCTGCTCCAGAGAGAACAAATCCAGTGCAGCTAATCTTTCCTCATAGCTGAGCTCCTCCATGCCTCTTATGAGTTTAGTTTCCTTTCTCTGCACTTTCTCCAGCTCCATAACATCCTTTTTGTGAACTGGTGCCCAAAACTGAACTGCATATTCCAGATGAGGTCTTACTAATGCTTTATACAGGGACAGGATTATGTCGCTATCTCTGGAGTCTATATCCCTTTTAACCACTTCTGGGGGGGGTCACGTAAATAAATGTCATCCGCTGAAAGTGGTTATACCAAGAACACGGATCACTTGTACGGTGCTGCGGCGTGTGTGTGTCCCTCCACCGCCGGAGTCACCTTTGGCTTCCTAGGCTCCACTGTCCCCCATATGGCACGGCGGGTCTCCACTGACAGATCTGAGGGAGATCAGCAGGCTTCCAGCCGCTGAGCTCTTCTCCGATCACTGCACCCGGAAGTGATGTGCATTGCATCACTTCCGGTGTTACTGTGCACATTCTCTGGCATAGATCTCTGTTTCATCAGCTTCTTTGGGGTCCATTGGTGACATTAGGGGTCTGAAAGACCTCTAATGTCTCCATAAAGAGGACCTGTCAAATTATATTAGCTATTACATGGGGGGCTTGTTAGCCCCCTATGTGATAGCAATAAAGCTGAGTATAAAAATAAATAAATTAAAGTAACAGATTAAAAAATGCAGAAACATTTTTTAGCATTCCCCCGCGCTCCGCGTGCATGCACATACAACGCAAACACGTGGCCGATGCGCCTACATGCAAAAACGAAAATTGTGCCACACATGTTACATATGATCATGAGCGTCAGAGTGAGAGCAATAATTCTAAGTCCATCAATCACTGTTAACACTAAACTGATGAGCGTAAAAGCGTTTAAAGTGTCGCCTATGGGAAAATTTGGTTATTGTAGTTTTTTGCCGTTTCACAGACGCACACAATTTTAAGGCTTGACATGTTTGGTATCTGTTTACCCGGCGTGACCCTGTCTTTTATATTTTACCAAAACATTTGGATTATATTCTGTTTCTGTGCATTTTTCACTTTCATTTTAGTGTTAGCCTAAAAATACTTGTTTGTTAAACATTTGCGCAAATACCGTGCAACATAAAAAAAAATGCAACTAGCACCTTTTTATTCTACAGGGCCTCTGCTTTCACAAAATATATAATTGTTTGGGGATCTGAAGCTGTTTTCTAGCCAAACATTATGATTTTATCATGTGTGTGTGCAAATGTAGGAAATTGCTCTGGGCAGCAAGTGGTTAATACAAGAAAGTATTTTGCTTGCTTTAAGGTGCCCATACACTGCACGATTCTCGTACGAGAATCACGGGAAATCCCGCGATCGTACGAGAATCGTGCAGTGTATGGAAGGCGTGCGATCGTTTCTACTGTACGGTCGCACGTCTTCCGTCGAACCAGCAGGCTAGAAAACCTGCCGAGAATCGTACGAGTTAGTGGCCTGCTGGTTCGACAACTGCCGAACGGGCCGGTGTGCGCACGCGCAAACAGCCCGTTTGCAGTCATCTTAAGCCCGCCCCTCATTGCAGTCATCGTAAGCCCGCCCCTCAGGGGGACGGGCTTACGATGATCGAGAGTACGATCTGCCTGTCCAAGATGGGCAGATCGTACGTTTTTTTAATCATTTTACAACCATCGCAAGACTAAGGTCTTGCGATGGTTGTACAGTGTATGGCCACCTTTAGAAACTGCGGCTTGACATTGCATGCTATTATTGAGTCTATGATCTACCAGAACACCTAGATTTTTCTCCATCATTAACTCCCCCAAACATACTCCCCCTAGAGTGTATGACGCATGCATGTTTTTAGTCCCCAGGTGCATAACTTTATAACTTTCATTTATCAACATAGGTTGATATAGGTTTAAAGAGTGGATTCAACATATTGTAATTGGGGGTATTGTACAATTTTTATTTCTATGTGATAAACTTTCAGGGAAGCATTATTTGGTAAATAAAAAAATACCTTTTTCTATTTCAGTCCACTCTGAACTGGAGATATGTGAATTCTGGTTGTCCAAATCAGTTCCTGTCTTATACATGGCTTAAATACTCCACATTAAGATCTCCCTGTCATAATTCCCATCCATGTCCGCCTAGGAGTTTTGGGTATTTCCACTCATCTTTGCATGTCTCAGCTTTTTTATTAAGCAGAACATGCATGAAAATGCAAGATTACTCTATTTCCTGTGTCATATAAAGTAGATCCTATGCTGCCAGACTACTCAGAACAATGTTTTGCCATGATGTAGCGTCATCCATGAAATCCTTTTCTTTCTGTGGCTGGAAAAATAACAGTCTTGTTATTACTGTCAT